CTATTCATATCATTGTGGGAAAATTCAACTACCAGACCTTTAACACCTTAAACTAAATAGGGTGAATAGCCCTCATATAACTGATTTACCCGAAATATAAACGAAAAAAGAAACCATGTTGTATTTGCCATAGCAATCGACTGCATTACTTATATTTCGTATGTAAGTAGAGTTTCGAGACTACCAGTAAATCAGTAATATGAGATGTATTCACCTTATTTCGTTTAAGGCAGTGACTCCCAAACTGTGCGCAGCGGCGCCCCGGTGAGCCGGGGCGTGTAGTGATTTGTAATGATTTGTAGTGTAGTGTTTGTGTAATGAAATGTGTGTAGTGATTTGCAGGCCTCTCCAGCACATTAATTATTAAATATTAATTTAATGTTAATAAAGTAAAAAAATAATGAAGATAAACGAGTTTTACTTGTTTTTATCTTTTACTTACGGATAGTCATACGTAGGGTGGGGCGCCATGGAAAAATTTTAATTGAAAAAGGGCGAGGCGACTAGGAAAAGTTTGGGAATCATTGGTTTGAGGTGATGAAGGACTCGTAGTCGAATTTTCTCACAATGATATGAGTAGAGCTGACGTTTCCATTGAATTTTACATAGCTTTGCTTTCCCAAAAGTTGTTCTCATTCAGGGTGAACCTATGCGAGGTCGAAACTGCAGTCCACTGTGGCCTGGATGAGAACACCTTTTCGGAATGCAAGGCTGTGTGAAATTCAATGGAAACGTCAGCTCTATTCATATCATTTTGGAAAATTCTACTACCAGTCCTTCATCACCTCAAACGAAATATGATGAATGCATTACGTAATTTTCGTTTAAGCGTAGGTTTTCGAGACCAGCAGTAGATTTTTATTTAAGAGTTTTATTCACCCTATTTGGTATATGTTCGTATATCTGAGATTCGAAGGAAATATGAGGCCTACTCATATGATTGTGGGAAATTTCAACTATTACTCACTTATCGCTTTAAACAACAGAGGTTGAATACAGCCGTAAAATAGGTATCGAAAAAACTGCATATAAACAAAAAATAAAATTAAGGTCACCTTTCCAGGATCTGTCAATAAAAATATGGACAATCGGGGGCAATGGTTTATCAGTTAACAGCCCAGCTGTAAACGCAGATGACTTCACCCTTGCAAGATGGCGAAACATGACTTTTATGGCTATGCCTTAGATGGATATACAGGTGAATGTGGATGTGGATCTCACTTTCGACCTATTTTACCAAAATTACAAACACATTGTCGACTGAACTATCCAACCTTCACGTCTCTTGACGTCCACTTGCTGCTTCAGTTAGAGGATGCTTAATGGAGGAACAAAGGGTGGTGAGATACAGACTTTCCACATGGTTTAAGCATATGCAAATGATAAAGATACAGTGGCGCAAATAAATGAATGTTGAAAAATACAAATCTGAATGAAATCAGGCCCGGCCATGTTGTTTTGCATGACTATTCATTAAGTTGTTAGAACGACGAGTTTAGACTAACCATCAATCCTAGTCCATTATTGTGTCTGGGACAGTAAAGAAGATGTGGGCACCAATGTGTCTAAGAGCCCTAAGGTCAGGTCAAATGTCTGATTAGTCTACAATCAGCAAAGTTGTACAAACTCTTGCGGAAGTGCCTGGTCTTCTAATCTCTAAAACGGTTGATCTAGCGAAGCAAAATTCAGCTGTGAGTGAGTGTCAATTCAAGGGAAGGTAGGCTATATTAGGACGTTAACTAGTGGCATTAATTGAATAACTATAATCATCAGGAAAAGTTAAAACATAAAAAAAACACGGAAACAGCATTACAACTTTGCCACAGAATGGTTATGATGTATAAAAAGCATTATCTCTTTGGCACTGTGAGCTAGCGTTTTGAGAAATGAAAATTCGTAAAAATCTCGCCAGTTCCCTAAAATAAGAATTATCAAGACATTTCCTGCGAAATTCACTTTGCCCGATATCCGCCAAAGTAGTAATATTTGGCACTTTCATATCACCATGAAGCCCATAGTCATCTCGTTAAAATAGTATTGTGACCATGTGATGTGGAGGCAAAATTATTGCCTTTAAACCCTCATTTCATAGGCATAATTCTCGGCCATTTTGTGTTCGTTTTGGTATGGCGGCTG